TCCTCTCTGCTGCCGCGCCCACTGCGGCAAGCCCCTTCCCCGCCAATCGCTTGCCCTCCTCCCCCCCCCCCCCCCCCCCCCCCCCCCCTCCGCCCCCCCGCCCCTCCCCCGCGTGGCCCCCCTACTGCTCTCTGCCTCCCTGCCTGCCTGATGCAGCCCCCGCACCCCCTGGGCGCCGACGGGCCCACTGCACCAGCGCCCAGTCCCCGCGGTGCTGCTGGGCGCCTGAGCATCGCCACACTGCCCGCTAGCTGTGGCTCCTGCCCCATGGGGCGCAGGGCTCTGCACTGGCCAATGGGGACTATCCAGGGCACCCAGGCGCCCAGCCTTTGTTCCACCACCTGCAAAGCAGTCCGTTGCAGGCCTGGGGGGCCGACCCCTCCCACCCACCAAGGGAGGAAGTGTCTGCAGTGATGCCCCCTCGGCTGTGGGTCCTAGTGCGTGGTGGAAGTGACAGAGGGCTCCTTGGTGACGCTGTCGTTTGCCTGAAACGGGGGCGGGGGGGGGGGGGGCGGGCTTTGGGTGGTGGGTGAGGGGTAGAGAAGCAGGTTGGGTCAGAGGAGGCAGGAGGAGGCAGGAGGGGTTACTGCTGCTGTTGATGTGTTAGGAGGGAGGGTGAGAGATTGCGGTTGAAATGTCCTCTGCAAGGGGGGGTCCGAGGCCATCCTTCCGGATGATCAAGTGTGGCCCTCTTTCAGGGACCAGTCAGGGGCAGAGGCTTCCGGACAGAAGGATGAGAGAGGAAGGCCTGGAGCTCCTGTGTGGACAATGACCAGGGAATCTTCCTCTGTGTGCTCAGTGCCTCCCACCCCCAGCAGGCTGGTGGCCATGCCGGGGGGACCCCGTGGCCACCAGGGCTGGATGGCAGCCGGGAACAGGAGTGGGCAGGGGGCAGTGGTCCAGAGAAGAGTACTGCTTGGGAAAGCCTTCTCTACCTGGCTACCCCCGTCCTGCCAGCAAGGCCCGATGGAGGGTCCAGAACTAAGGAAAGAGGAGGAGTGGGGAAGCAGTGCCCTTCCTGCTCTTCCAGAGCTGGGCCTCTCACGTGGTGTGTCCTGGTACCTGGGGCTGTCCATACAACCGTGTCTCAGCCCCAAGGCGGCCAGTGCAGGCGAAATGTCGACAAGGAATCAGTGTGCTAGGGGTGGCTGGGTCGGTTGGTGCAGAGTCTTTGGGATGTGGCTTTAAAGACAGGTTGAGCAGCAGGCTGCATACTCTCGTGTGAGCCTTAGAAGCTTCTGGAGAGATGGGCTTGGCATGGCGCCACCTTCCCTCTGCAGTCTCCACGGAAGGGCTCTAGCGCCACCACCACAGGTGGCTGCCAGGCATGGCCTGGACACATGAGGTCTGTGTCCAGCACTGGACAGAACGAGCACTGTTGGGGTGAGGGTCTAAAGCGTTGGGGTGACAGTGCTGGCGAGGGTGGCTGCTGGGTGGGGACGCTCTTGGGAGGCTGCTAAGACAGGACAGTGGGAGCCGTGGCTCAGCAGGTGGCAGGAGGGTGTGGGCCCTAAAGATGTTTGGAGCCCCAGACTGGTAGGGGCTTAGTGAAGAGAAGTCGGGGATCTGGGGTGACCCCAGCAAGTCTGGGACTGGAGGGGAGAAGATGGACATGGGTGGTCTGCTGCCGAGGAAGAGAAGCCATTGCTGATGGGGTTAGGGAAGTGGGTGCAAGAACTTAACCCTGAGGAGCAGGATCAGAGGGCATCTTGGAATTCAGGGGCAGGGCCTGGAGGAGCAGTGCCACAGGGACTGGGGTGAGGAATGAACCGCCCTTCCCCCTTCCCCCCCCCCCAAAATTAGATCACCCATGGGAGGAAATGTCCCACAAACTAGGGAAGGCTGTGGCCAGCTTTTGCAAAAACAGCAAAGCGACTGAGGGAGAAAGGAGGGATGGTCGCTGGCCGGCTGGGGGAGGGGTCAGTGGGAAGAGTGGACCTGCCGATGCCTCCCAAGGCTAGGGGAAGCATTCCCTCCCTCCTGGGCAAGCCTTCCTTCCTCTGCAGGTATTGAGCTGAGAGGAGAGGTGGGGGTTTGGGGGCAGAGGGTCTGGAATGACAGAGTACAGAATGCCACCAGTGGGATTTGCACACCGCCAGGGGCAGGGAGCTCATTTGCCCTCCTGGCGGCCCACCACCCCGGCACAAGTTGGCTCTGACCAGACCAGGAGGCGCAGGCTTGCTATTTTTGAGGGGGGGTGCAGGAGGTGCCCTGCAGAGCCCATGTCCAGCTGGCTGACGTCCAGGGCTATCAGTGATATGCACACTAGGCCAAGCTGGGCGAGAGTGGGCAGGAGGAAAGCACAGAGCTCTGCATTCTGACTGTCACTGTTGCACCAGCCTCTGCATCCGCCCTGCAGCCGGATGGGGGCCGCCTCGGCCCAGCCCGCCCGGGACCTCAGGCCGGCGCCCGGGCTCTGGCTCCGTGTCTTCACTCCCGTGTGTCCGAGGAGGGAGGGAGGGACGGGGGCTGTGCTGGGGCAGCTGGAACGGCGCAGGCCACCGGGCGGCTGGACGAGGTGGCCAGGCAGGGCTGGGAGGCTCCGGGGAGGTTACTGGGGTGAGAGTGATGGCTATGCTGGCAGTGCCCAGGGGCCCACTCAGAGCCTGCCCACAGGGTCGGGGGGGTGCTCCCTGTGTCTCCCCAGGTTTAATCTGCAGCCCCATCTCTCTGCTGCCCACATGTGCTAGCAGGTTCGGGGAGCTGGTCGGTTACCCCAGGGTACTGGAGGGCAGCCAGTCACGGACGTTGTCCATCCCTATGGCCTTCCAGTGCTTTCTCGCTTTGGCAGCCTGTGCCCACCCAGCCAGCCCGAGTGCCCAGTGCAGCAGAGCCCAGGCTGGCACCTGCCCCCGTCCCAGGGCACGCCCCCAGTTCACCCCCCAGCCCGCCTAGACCCTGGTATGCAGAGGATCCTGAGAGAGGATCCTGAGAGAGGATGCTGAGACAGGGAGCTCATCCTGCCCAGCGTCCTGCTGCCTGCTGACAAGGGTCCAGGGCCACACCCACGAGTCAGCAAAGGCCCCAAGACAGAGGGATGGGAGGCATTCTTCGGCCCAGCCCTTCCTGCCTGGAGGCCCCTACCCACCCAGCCCTCATGAGAAGGGGTGCAGGAATGTGGGTGGGTGCCTCCTCGCTCTCAGGCCCTGGGGAGCCAGGCTCTGACCCTTGACCCCAGGTGGCCCTGAAAGCCCTGATTCACCCCGGGGGTCAGGTCTCAGACCCCCAACTGTCACACCCCCTCAGCCCTATCCCAAGGTGGGGGCCAGAGCCCCCCTCAGACACACACGCTACCATCACTTCCAGGCCCTGGGAGCAGGGGTGGTGGTTCCCCAGACGGGCAGCCCCTGCAGGGTGAAGGTGTTTGAGAGCTGAGGGCACCTGGGGCCTGGGGAGTGGGACTGCTCAGGGCCCATGTGGGAAGGGGAAGAAGGAGAGACTGGCCTTCTCCCTCCATCTCCACACTCCCAAACCTCCCCTCCCCCGCTGTGTCTGAGTGGTCTCCTCCAGGCACCTCTGACATCCTCCCTCCAGTCCCACCCAGTGTGCAGGGCCTGCAGCCCGCGCAGCATCGCACAGCACACGGTCGGCACAGGGCATGTACACGGCCGCTCTGTTTTGTCCGCTGCTCACCCAGCCCAGGCTTGTGCAAGTGAGCATGGGAGACCAACACACTCCCGCCCAGTCTGACCTGGTGGTTCCCACCAACTCTTTAGGATTAATTCAGCCTCAGGATAATTACCTTTGTCTCCCACCCCCCACGCCAAGCTTCTGCTGGAAGCTGCCTGTGCCCTCCAGGCCTCCTGCTCACCCTCCTCTGAGGGTCACCTGGGAGCCCCCCAGCCCTCAGGTCAGCCTCGGGACCCCCAGGGCTCTGCCCAGGCTGATCCAGCCCCCAACAACAGCGCACGGGGTGAGCCTTCCACAGACCCTGTTCAGGTTAAACCGCCGCCTCCACTCGGGGCCCAGCCTCCTCCACAGCCCTGGGGCCAGAACCACAGCCAGTAGGGTGTGGAGGGGAGTGGAGGGCTATGGGGGCCTGACAGCAGGCAGCCTGACAGAGCTACTTGGCTCCTCGAGGCATAGCATGGACTGGACAGGAAACCGAGTCTCCACCAGCCTGTTTCCCGGTCTGTAAGATGGGGTCCCAGCACCCGCCTCAGAATCGCTGTGGTTGTTAACACTGGCCCCACCGCATTTTCAAAGGCTCCTGCTGTGTGGCCCACACACCTCCCTGCACAGCTCCATGGTGTGTCCGCAGGGCTGTGTGCACTGAGCCTCTGGCCCTGCCCCCAGGACAGAGCGTGGGTGGTGCGTTGCTGGGAGATTAAGGGGTGAGGAGGGCTTTGGGGACAGAGGAAGGGGCGCACACCTGATGGGGACCCAGGTGTGTCCAGGCCCCCATGTGCAGGACCACTCCTCACCAGGCACCCCATTCCCCCAGTCAGTAGCCCCACTCAGGCCTGCAGTCCTCACTGGAAAAGTGCACCTCTGGACTAGGGGTAGGAGGAGGCTCTGATGGTCCTGCCCTGCCCTTCGTGGTGGGGGTAGCCCTCCCCCCCCATCCTCAGCCTAGGCCAAGGGCACCCTGCAGGCCTGGAAGCTTGCCCTGGGAAGCCAGCAGTCTGGCAGTCCCACCCCTCTGCACAGACCCAGCGCCCTGAGGCCGTTCTGTGCTGGGGCACACATGTCCTGAGCTGTGCCAGGACTCCTGGGATGGTCACCTCACCTGTGTGGTGGCAGCAGGGGACATTCAGGGGCTGGGAGGACAGCGGACATTCCGGCCCTAAAGTTCAGCCTCCTGCACCCCTGCTTTATGCCACCCCCTCTGGCTTTGCCCCCGAGGGCCTGGAGGCCATACACAGAGGGCAGCCCCACTCCTGTGTCCTGCGCTGGGGACTGCACGATCAACCCAGGCCCCCGCTGGAGCTGTGTCCCATTCCAGGGTCTGCCCAGCCTCCGGGGTCCCTCCTCTCCCTCACAGCAGCCCCTCCCCACAGGAGAGCACCTGAGGGTCTGCCCCCAGGGCTACACCTGCTGTACCAGCGAGATGGAGGAGAAGCTGGCCAACCGCAGCCGTGCTGAGCTAGAGGCTGCCCTCCTGGACAGCGGCCACGCCCTGCAGACCACGCTCGCCACCCAGCTGCAGAGCTTCGATGGTGAGCAGGCCCCTGGGCTTGGGGGGACCTGGGCACGAGGGCAGCTCTGGGCGAGGCAGGAGCAGAAGGCTGTGTGCAGGCCTCCTCGTGCATCCTGTGGTGTGCACAGCAGTACGCGTGTCCGTTTGGGGAGATCAGGCCCAGCCCCTCAGGGGGGACCTTCTCTAGAAGTGCCTCTTTGTCACCAGCAGACAGGGATAGGCCTTGCCCCGGCCACTGGTGGCGCAGAGCCAGGACGGGACTGAGGCTGGGGCTGCCCTGCTATGGGAGCAAGAGGCGGTTGGGGCCCCGGGTGTGGCCTTCCTGTCTCCAGGGCAGCGTCTTGGTGGTTGGGAGACTCTCACCAGGTCTCACACCAGGTCCAGGCAGAGAGCAAGTGCCTGAGACAACATGGAGCTGGCTGGTATGATGATGCCCACAGTGGTCACCTCAGGGGAATGAGGTGGGAGCTGGGGTGGGGCCCCCAGGAAGTGACCTAAAGTCTAACTGGAGGGGGAAGGTGCTCTGGCAGAGCCTGAGTGGACAGAAGAGGGAGAGTGTGTGTCTGCAGTCATCAGGCAGTCCCAAGAGGCACTGAGGTCCATGATCTTAGCCCCTGAACCCCTGCTCACCGTTCCACAGCCTGGCCAGGAGCCGCCCACTCCCACCTGTGGAGCTGTGGAGGATCTCTTGCCCCAGCCAGCCCGATAGCCCAAGGCCTTGGGGGACAGGGGTAGATGTTGGGGAGCCTGCCCAGGGTCCCAGGGCCTGTGCAGGGAGGGTGGCCATAGCTCTCAGGGACAAGTCTGAGTGGAGGGTCTGTGTGGTTACAGACTCTGCTTCTCCCTGCCAGAGGGGGTGGGAGCTCTTGAGGGTCCCATTCTGGGCACTTAGGGTGCAGGGGCATTTCCCCAAAACCATGGAGGTCTGCTCCACATGCTCATGCCCTGCTCTCCCCCAGAGGGCTTCAGCACGCCTGTCCAGGTCCTGGGCACATCCCAAAGGTGACAGGAGACCCTCCCCGGGCCATCAGGCAGGCCAGCTTCTGGGTGCAGGACAAGAGCTGAGGCTTATGGAACCCAAGGGAGGGTATCTAAAAGAAAGAGAAGGACAGCCAGACTCATGGGGGTTGGGGGCAGTGCAGGGGGCAGGGGGCAGAATGGAGGTGGATCCCACCCCCTGGCTCAGGACCCACCTTACAGGTGATCCCAGTAGGTCACTAAAGCACCCTGTGTCTGTGCCCGGCCTCAAAATGTCAACTGGAGTCCCAGTTGGAGGCCCTGAGGCCCAGGAGGGACCCCCAGGCAGGCTTTTGCACCCCAGGCAATCGAGGAGTGGGGGGTCTGAGAGTCCCGGGGCACCCAGGGACCTTCCAGCCTCCACAGCCTGGGCTCTGATTCTCCCAGAGCATCGGGGATGCTGGGCAGAGCCTGCCACCCCCAGGAATCCGGCTCTGGCTGAGACTTGGGGAGTGGGCAGGGGGCCAGGAGACCCTGGGAGGCCTCACACCCACTTCCCCGGGCCCAGATCACTTCCAGCACCTGCTGAACGAGTCGGAGCGGGCGCTGCAGGATGCCTTCCCCGGCACCTTGGGCGAGCTGTATGCGCAGAGCGCCAGGGCCTTCCGGGACCTGTACGCCGAGCTGCGCCTCTACTACCGCGGCGCCAACCTGCACCTGGAGGACACGCTGGCAGAGTTCTGGGCCCGCCTGCTGGAGCGCCTCTTCCGGCAGTTGCACCCGCAGCTGCTCCTCCCCGATGACTACCTGGACTGCCTGGGCAAGCAGGCCGACACGCTGCGGCCTTTCGGAGAAGCCCCTCGCGAACTGCGCCTGCGCGCCACCCGCGCCTTCGTGGCAGCTCGAGCCTTCGTGCAGGGCCTGGGCGTGGCCGGTGACGTGGTACGGAAGGTGGCCCAGGTGCGCACAGAGGCCCCGCCTCCCAGCCCCACCCCCATCCCTCTGCCCTGGGCTTGCAGACAGCGGTTCCATCCCGCGTCCCATCCGGGCACAGAGCTCTAATGTGGGCAGCAGTCCCTCCTCTGTCGGGCTGGGTCCCAAGCAGGATGGGGTGGGAGGAGAAGAACAGGGAGCTGGATGCTGAGCCAACCGCAGTGGTCGGGTGGACGGGAGCGGGGAAGTGGGGTGGACAATGTCGGGAGGCCAGAACAGGCTGGGCCTGAGGCCTTGAGGGCCAGCAGGATACCTCCCCCAAGAGGCAGCCCGAGTCAGACCCACACAGCCCTGGGCGTGAGCCACCTCCCTCTCAAGCTGGAGTCCTTAGTGAGTCCCCTTCCCAGCCGAGCCCCAGTCCCCTTATCAGCATGGAGGGGAGGCGCACACACACTTCTCATGAGGCTCGGGAACAGCGCTGTTCCAGGGACTCATGCGCTGGGATGGCTGCAGTGAGGAGGATGGCCCGACCCCTGGGAGCCTGCTTGACCCTCTGAGATGAGACAGGGTCCCCAAGACAGGTTGGGGCTGAGCTGCAGCCTCCTGACTTCTGTCCTGAGCCCTCTACCCTGGGGCTCCTTGGAGGGCTGGACATGGCCAGCTGCCAGCAGGGCTCAGACGGCCTTGCCTCCCCAGGTGCCCCTGGGCCCGGAGTGCACGAGGGCTGTCATGAAGCTGGCATACTGCGCACCTTGCCTGGGGGTCCCTGGCGCCCGGCCCTGCCCGGACTACTGCCGCAACGTGCTCAAGGGTTGCCTGGCCAACCAGGCCGACCTCGATGCCGAGTGGAGGAACCTTCTGGGTGAGCCGTCCCCACCGCCACGCGCCAGAGGAGGGGTCTGCAGGTGCAGGGACACAGCCAGCCTGCCCTCTGGAGCGTGGGCCATGGCCCTGGGAGGGGGAGGGGCCTGGAGTCATGGGACAGGGAGGCCATTCGGAACAGAGCGTGACTCCAACTGCTACCTGGCATGCAGCCCTCTGGGGTCATGACTCCCCATCCTCTCTCCCCTCCCCACCCCCGAGCAAGTGCCCCGCTGTGCACACATACAACACACCTGTGACCTAGGGCAGGCCACCCATGCCTGAACTAACATGCACGTGTGGCACACGTAGTGGGCTGACATTCGTGCACATTTGCACGTGTGCGCAGACATGGCTGACGGAAGGTGTACCAGCAGGCCCAGAGGCCAGCCGGTGTACGCCCTAACGTGTGCTGGCACGGCTAACCCACACACGTGTGCTGACGTGTGCTCACACGTGCGTGTTAGGATGAGGTCTGAGCACATGTCAGCTGGCACAGGCACATGGTAGGCCAATGCAGTTCGTGCCAACACACACATGAGGTTCCGTACACATGTTGCGTGCATGCACCAGCCAGCACACATAAGAGCTAACGTGTTCGTGAGCGGACGCCTGGTGGGCTGGCGTGCATGTGTGTCAGCACGTGCATGAGCTAGCATGTTGACGTGAGGTAGCTAGCGTGCATATTTACAAAATGCTCTCTGTGCGTGTGTTCATACTTGGGCCAGATTCCATGGTGCTCATCACTGACAAGTTCTGGGGCCCCTCGGGAGCAGAGAGTGTCATCGGCAACGTGCATTTGTGGCTGGCAGAAGCCATCAACGCCCTCCAGGACAACAAGGACATACTCACAGCCAAGGTGTGGGCAGGCAGGTGCAGCGGGCATGGCGGGGCAGCCCAGAGTTGGCCTTGTGCCCCTCTAGGACCCCCATGGTCTTCCCCCAGGTCATCCAGGGCTGTGGGAACCCCAAGGTGAACCCCCAGGGCTCTGGGCCCGAGGAGAAGTGGCACCCGGGCAAGCTGGTATTACAGGAGAAGCCTCCCACTGGCGCATTGGAGAAGCTGGTGAGCGGCCCTCAGCCGGCCAGGCCTGGGATGGGCAGGGGACGGGAGGGCATGCTGAGCGGGGTTCCCCATGGCCTGGCCGCTGCCCTGCAGGTCTCGGAGGCCAAGGTGCAGCTCCGGGATGCCCAAGACTTCTGGATCAGCCTCCCTGGTGTGCTGTGCAGTGAGAAGTTGGCCATGAGCAGCGCCAGTGATGACCGCTGCTGGAACGGCATGGCCAAAGGCAGGTGGGTGCTGCCCAGCTGCCCATAGGCCGGCTGGCCTCAGAAGCCTCATCCAGGCCCCTCATCTGGCCTATGTCACCAAGTGCTATGTGCATGGGGCCATGCCTGACGCCGGGCATGCAGTGGGACACGGGAAGCCTAGACAAGGGCCTGGGCCAGCCCCTAGTGGCGTGCGCCCCACTCGGTGCATCCACACCATGCTCTGTGGGCTCCTGGAAGCCCCGACAGGCTGCGGGGGTCTCAGGCTTGCCAGCACCTGGACAGGAGGAGAGGAAGTGGGAGGGCATGCCGGAGTAGCACCCCATTGCAGGGAGCAGGCAGTGACCCAGGGCCTGTCCTCGGCCGTTCCAGGTACCTCCCAGAAGTGATGGGCGATGGCCTGGCCAATCAGATCAACAACCCCGAGGTGGAGGTGGACATCACCAAACCCGACATGACCGTCCGCCAACAGATCATGCAGCTGAAGGTCATGACCAATCGGCTTCGCGGCGCCTACAGTGGCAACGACGTGGACTTCCAGGACGCCAGTGCGGGCGGGGCCCCAGGGACTGGGAGCCACAGGGTGGTGTGTGGGAAGGGCACAGAGCAGGGTCCCTCCCAGCCCCTGGGCCCTCATGGTGGCTCTGGTTGCTGCTGCTCCCTGGGCATGGACACCAGGCACCCCCATACACACACAGACACCCATATCCCCAAGCACAGCTGCCTGGCCAGGATGTCCATCAGGACTTGACAGGTCCAGGTGGAGCACAGGAGGGCCCCATGGCGGGAGGCTGGGCTCTGGGTCCCTGGTGCTCAGGGTCCATGGCAGGGCAGGCCTACTGGAGCATCCTCTCCTCCCCAGGTGACGACAGCAGTGGCTCGGGCAGTGGTGATAGCTGCCCAGACGACCTCTGTGACCGGAGGGTCAGCAAGAAGAGCTCCAGCTCACGGACAACCCTGACTCATGCCCTCCCCGGCTTGTCGGAACGGGAGGGCCAGAAGACCGCGGCTGCGAGCTGCCCCCAGCCCTGCGTGTCCCTGCTGCTGCTGCTCCTCGCCCTGGTCCTCTCAGCTGCCAGCCCCACGTGGCGGTAACTGCCCCAGGCCCCAGGGACCGAGGCCAAGAACTGACTTTGCCAAAACGCAGAACAGATGATATTTAATTCTCCATGGCCTAGAGGCCCCAGGGCAGGACAGGGAGGGACAGTGAGGGACCCCGGCTCTGTGACTGCACTGGAGGGGGTGGGGGGCAAGGGCGTTGGCCCTCCCTCCTGGCTCCACCGGCCACCCTGGCTTTTAGTTTTGTAGGAGGCCCTCAGGTCAGCCAGGAACAATGTCCCCAAAAGCCATGTATTTCAGGGATCTGGGGGATGCCGGTGGCCACCTCCCGCCTGCCCACCTGCGCCTCTCCCCCCAGCTCCCTGAGCAGCATCCCGCTGGAGAGAGCGAGCCTGTGCCTTCCTCTCCTGCCTCTTCCCACGGAGAACTTTGGGCTCCAGGTGTCAGAAACCGAGGCCCAGCCCTGGGTGCCTCAGGATCCCCGGGAGGGCAGCGGGGTGTCTGCCATTTAGGGGCGAGCGGACCCCTGAGATTATGCATGAACCTTCCGACTCAGCCAGGCCCCCGTGATCACACACACACACACATCCGCCGAGCCCCTCAGCCTCCAGGAGAGTTCTACCTGGGCTGGAACCCTTGCTGACTGTCCATGTGGACCTCATTCTCTCCAAGGACCAGCTGCAAAGGCCTGGGGTGCACAGGGGCCGCCATGGGCACAGCCTCACCCCTCTGGGCACTGCTCTTGGGTGACCTGTGTGCGGGGCTGGGGGTGCTGATCCTGGCCTCCCCAGGAGAGCAGGCTAGGCCCTCCGCAGACATGGGCACCCCCTTGAACACAGGGCCCCACGACTGTGCAGAGGGCCTGCCCACCTATGCTCCTGCCTCATCCCCACCAGACCCGGGGCCCCAAGCTCCAGGTGATGCAGGCAGTGCTGGAGGCCACACCTGGCCAGAGGATCTGGGTGGCCGGTGAAACTTCAGCTCGGCCAGGGGGCCTGACCCCGAGAGCCAGAGGGCCACCTGGGTCCCTCCTGACCCCGCCAGCTGTAGGGGCCTGGGGGGCTTTGATAGTTAAGGGCTTTTCCAAACGTACAGACATTCATAGACGCTTTCCATCTGTTCACTCAGAGCTGCTTTTCAGCTCCTCCTCCCAGAGCTTAGAAGGGCTGGGGGTTCCCGGACCTGGGGGCCACCCCTGCTCACTCGGGCTGTCCAGACCCTCCCCCAGGCTCAGGACCTCCCTCCCTCCCTTCCTGGCCCCAGCTGCCCTGGGCCCTGGGGAGGGGGCTGGACCCCGCCAGAAAAGGGCTCAGGCAAGAGGACCCTCGAGGGTCTGTGGGATGCTGAGCCACTGTGGCCAGGGACAGCAGTCCTAACCAGCACCAGGGCCCGACAAGGCCACTTAGCGCTGCTTTGCCTCACCTCCCATGCTGGCCAGGGCCCCCAGCCTATGTCCCACCGAGCAGCACACTCCCACAGGCACTCCCACCCCACAGTAACCCTGCTCATGCCAGGCCGGGGGGCAGGGCCTGGGGCCTCCTTCCCTGTAGGTGAGGGCCAGCTGGACTCTCAGGGTCTCTGGGGCGGTGGCTGCCTGCGTGCCTGGATGGCAGCATATGGCTGCACATGGCTGTCCCGTCGGGGGCCTACACTATACGTCTCCCTGCAGAGGCGGCCCAGCACAGCCCCCAGCCAGGTGGTAGCCAGGTCTGCTGTGTCCTGCTGCACGGTGTCAACTGGCGTCCTATGCTCTTGAGTCCTTGTACGAATAAAAGGTTGGAGAGCTTGTATGGCTGCCGCGGACCCCTCCTGCACAGCTTGGGCGGGTGCATGCCCCTGGGCCGCACACAGCAGGACGTGACTAAGGCACGTGGAAGGGGTTCTTGCGCCCAGACAGCACCCCTGGTCTGGGTCTCCCCGTCCCACCCTGGGCTCACACAGTGCCTGGGAGAAGGAGGAGGCCAGGACCCACCTGCTGTCTACTCCTTCTCTGCTCTGGACTCACATCCTTTCACCAGCCCCGGGAAGCTTCCAGTTCCTCCAAGTAATCTCCAAGACACCCAGGAGGCCAGAGCGTGGGGACCGCGTGGTTCTGAGGCCAGGCCTGTCTGGACATCCCAATGGTCCAGTCTGTCCCCAGGGCCGAACAGGGCCTGCACCCGGGGCAAAACTGCCAGCCCCACCCTCTGCCCGGAAGCAAGAGCTGCCGCAAGGTCACTTTATTTGGGAACTGCGGCCATGCTAGTCTGCCTGGAAACGCCTCGCACAGCCTCTCCTCCGTGGGCCTATGTGCCAAGGAGCCAGTGGCCAGGACCCTGTTCCCCTGTGCAGGGGTGGGGGGTGACATGCCCTGGGAGGGAAAAACAAGGCTTTTCTAGGGCTTGCGGCTCCTTGTGGCCCAGCAGCGACCAGGGGCTCACCAGCCCACCCACCCTAGAGCCAGGGGATGGCAGGGTGGTCCAACTCCTCCCAGCGGGTGGGGTTGGGGGACGGCCTCCCTCCCTGGGCGGGCTGGGACACAGCCTCCAGAGTCCACGGAACACGTGGATCACCAGACACTCATTCCTGGTTGTATGTGGAGTAGTTTTTCGGCCGGCCTGGTGGCTTTGGGGGCTCAGGCTTCTGGCTCGCCTTCTTGCCCAGGTGTTTTGAGGACTTCTGGAAGTTCTTTGTGAACACAGCTAATTCTGTTTTCCCTGTGGGGGAAGGACACAAATGAGGTGGGCTTCCAGCACCAGCCAGGGGCAGGTGGGGACCAGGTCAGGGAGAGGCCGCTCCCTGGCTCTGGGTCCCAATTCATTCCCCTGGAGACAGCCAGGAGGCCGCAGACATGAGGACCAGCCCCTGCTGGCAGCCAAGAGCAGCCAGCCCCTCCAGCGGGCAGGCCGGTGCTGGGCTCCACATGCACACATGCGTGGGAAGTCATGTCCTCCTTCCCTCCAGGAGACCAGGGCTGGAGGGAAGCCCTTGATCTACCTGGAGACAAGCCCTCTGGCCAGAAATTGCACGTATAATCAAAGGGCTAGCTCTAGTTCAGGGTAGACAACAGATCTCCTAGTAAACGTGGAAGGATTGGAACTGGGGGCCTGTGCTCCTGCAGGAAACAAGATAGGTGGCAAGTCGCGGGTCCAATCAGTCAAAGGTGGGGGTGGGTGTAGGGCTGGTGACGGGGCACGGACGGACAGGACCCAGTGACGGGCAACCTCGGTGAAGGGAAATGCTTCCCTCCTTCCTTTGCGGGGCCTGAAAATGCAAGCAGGACCCTGCACGGTTTCTAGCAGAAACCCATTTCCGGGCCCGACCTGGGAAGGCAAAGAAGCGAGGCAGCCAGGAACCTCTCAGGAGCCTCAAACCACACAGCAGCAGCAGTGGGAACCAGACAGACTGTCCCAATCAAGCGTGAGCCTTGGGAGGAAACACCAGGAAATGTCTGGTTATGATGCTCACAGCGATGAGCCCGCCCCTGTGGACAGCTCGGCGGACAGCTCTGCGTGCTGCACACTGCACGAGGCAAGGAACGCCGCAAAGCCAGTAGCCGTCCTGGGGCTCCGGAGTATTGGGGGGCGGGGCGCTGCTGCCGGGCAGGGCTCTGCCCAGAAACCATCTCCCCAGAGCGGAGTCCCACTGGGTCCTCAGCCCTATCAGGCAGGATTCCCCGACCCAGGCAGAGTAAGAGGCCCTTGGGAGAAGGAGTCCCATATCACCCATGATGGGAACTTAAATTAAAAATTACAGCATGCCCCAAAGACACCCACCACTGAGAGCCAGAGCCCAAGAGCGTCAGGTTGGCGGACAAACCGTCTACAGAAGTTTGTGTGGGGTCAGAGAGACGGAAGCCCTCGGGTTAGAACAAGCCCATTGTTTAAAAGAAAACAGCAGACTGGGAAAAGCATCAGCCAGAGCTGAGATGGGGACCCCCCCAAAGGAGACAGGGACCCCACAGACATGGGGACCCCACAGGAGGCAGGAACCACACAAGAGGTAGAGAGCCCCCCACAGAAAGCAAGGGCCCTCCCCACAGAAAATGAGGACCCCACAGGAGGTGGGGCCCACACAAGAGGCAGGTTGGCAGGAGCTCCATGCCTTTGGGCAGCTGTGGCAGGGAGGCAGGTCAGGGGCTCGGTGAGCTGGTTGTTTCAGAGAAAGGAAAGCCCCCTGCACCTCACCCACAGGCTGGCAGCCTGAGTGCAGCCCCCAGGCTACAGAGACCAGGCCTGTCTGAGTCCCTCTGGAGGAAATTCTGGAAAAGGCAAGTCTGAGGAGGGGAGCAGATGAAGGGCTTGCCAGGGGGTGGGCGAGAAGGGCACATAAAATAACCCGTGGGGGGCCCTCGACTAGCTACATGGCGAAGTTCAAGCAGTCCCCTACCTTACACCAGCAACATGTGAACTGGGGACAGACTAAGAAGCAAACTGTGGAAAGCCACGCTTCAAGCACAGAGAAGACAAGGGGACATTATGACCCGAGGGCACAGCAAGCATCCCTGGAGACAAAGAGCCTCAAGCCGCAAGGACGCCATGGGCATCTGTGGCCACTCCAATGTTCCGTCCTGCACAAGATGGACCAGACACGAAAGCACAGGCCATGGCACACATCACTCGAGAACAGAGCCATCCCAGCGAGAACATGCACCGCAATCCCACTCCCATGGAGCCCAATCCCTGACACGGGACTCCAAATGCCAGAGAAATAATAAAGAGGATGGCAGGGCAGCTCAGTCAGTTGAGCATCTGACTCGACTTCGGCTCAGATCGTGGTCTGAGGGTCATGCAATTGAGACCGAGCCCCGAGTCAGGGATTCTCTCTCTCCTGTCCCTCCCCCCGCTTGTGTGTACGCACTTCCATGCTCTCTCTCAAATAAATAAATCTTTAAATAATAAATAGGATAAATAATTAGTTACATATGAAAAAGTGCTCAATTTTCCTTATCATCAGAACGCAGAAAGAGATTTTCCAAAGCGCTATGCAGTGTAAAATCTTACAATAGAAAGCAGTCCCACATGCCTTTTAGGGACACAAGAAGGAAAAGTGAAACCATCTAAGGGGACAGGAGTGGAGGGCTGGCTGCCTCTCATTCCAGTTCTTTAAAAACCAGGCATGGGATGAGCACAGCTCAGGGTGGACATCAGTGAGGACAGGTGTCCCACCCGAGTGGTGGTAGGTCAGGGATCCTTGTATTGTTTTGTGGATTTTTTAAGATGTTCAAGGTGAAACCAGCCCAGATACAGGTTTTGTGGGGCTGTGAAGCTTTTCAAGTGTGGGGAGAGGTGGGTTCTTCAAAATAAAAGAACCCAAACCACAAACAAAACTAAGCCAGACACACTGGCTTGTGGTCAGTCTGCAGCCGGGGCCCAAGGAAGGGGACAGGGCAGTGCCTGCCTCCCAACGACAGGGTGGGGGGTGCCTCCAGTCTGTGGCAGGAAAGGAACCCACAGCTCCTGGCCCTGTGTTGTCTGTGTCCTTCCTGTGACCCACCAGGCCACCCCACTGCCCGTCCCTCCGGAGGTCACAGAACACTGGATTCTGGGTGGAACCCTGACAACTGTGGGTTCCAGGCCCTTGGAGTCCATCACTAACATTCCAGACGGACCGTCCCTCTCCATCCTGAGCTCATCTCGGGCTGCTCCTCTCTCAGACGCCCTGGATCACTTCTGTTCCTGGCTACCTGGGCATCTCCTCCCAAGGCTTCCTTGACCTCACCTGGCCTCCCCTCAGGGTGCCACCCGCTCTCCCAAGGGCCCAGGAAGGGGTCATAGCAACGAGCCCAGTCCCTCCATCTCCCCAGCCCTGGCCCTCCGCTCACACCCCGAGGATGGGGCTTCCTCTCAAATGCCTCATCCTTGCCTGGCCCTGTGGGCTCCCCTGATCCAAGTGGAGCCCATCAAGCCCTCGCTCCCCCTCCTGGGCCTCGCCCTCTCCAGAGCACACCGCCACAGATGCCGTGTGCCCGTGGCCCTGCACGCTGGCTCCCCAGCCGGAGCATCCCTCACCCACCCCCTGCCAGGCCCTCTTTCTCCAGTGCCCTCCTGACCCACTGCTCCCCCACTGAGCCGGGCTCTGTTGTAGGCCAGGTCCCTTGGAGCCATGGGCACTTCCAAGCTGTGAAGCCACACATCTGGTCACCGAGGGCACCCCACACACATCTGCCGTCCTGCTCCCCACCTGCCCCAGCTCACCTGCACCCGGCAGTGACCTCCTAGCACCCGGGAAGGGAGCAGGGCATGTCTTTCCCCACCAGAGAGAGGGTGCCAAGGGCCCAGGTGAGTGACCAAGTAGAGCCCAGAGGTTCAGGAAGACAGGAGCAAGGGTCAGGGGATGGGTGAGCAAGGGGGTTGTCTGGGCACACTCCCAAGCCAGAGGAAAGGGGGGAGTGGCAGGGAGAGAGGAGGTGGGTGGGCTAATCCCAGACCAGCCTCAACAAACCTAGCCCTCGGGAGCTGCCTGGATGAGCCCCCTGTTAACCCAGCACTCCACCTGCTCAACACTACCCTCTACACACACATGCACACACAGAGACACACATGCATGCACACATGCACACACACAAGCACACAGACAAGCACACAGAGGCACATGCGCAGACACAAAGACATATGCACACACATGCACAGACATACACACACAGAGACACATATACAGGTACGTGCACACATGCACACAGACACATGTACAGACACAAAGATATACCTGCACACAAACATGCACA